AAAAAAATTTAAAAAACAGAAATGAGAAACAAACAAACAAACAAAAAGCTTCCTAAGAAGAATAGATCTGATCATCTGCTTCCGAAAGGGCAGAGCCTTGAAAACCCTGCACACATGTGGTTTCTGTGTGTTGGAATGAACTCCATGGCAACAACAGGCTCCTTAGCTTCCATCTATTTCAGATACTAATTTTGAATCGAATCCCAACAGTACAGTCTAGATATGTGGGGACAATGATTGAATGCTGGATTACCCAAACTCATCAACTGTCGTTGGGAAAAAAGACCAAAACAAAACACACCAATAACCAAGGGAAAGTTGGTTTGCTCTGGGCTCAACAAGGAGTTGACACATAGGAGCTTGTCCTCACCTGAGATTCATCCCACCCAGTGAGGTAGATGTTGTAACTAAGGAAGTCTGCATTGTTCCTTTCCTGCATCTGAGTCTCCAGTAGCTGCAGTAGATCTGCAAACCATTCAAAGGCATGTGTGTCCCGACACAGCCAGTAGAAGTAGATCTGAAAGAAGAATGGACCATGAAGCAGATTCAATTTTGATAGGTATATAAACATTGACATATGGATTCCTCACCTCCACCCGCACAACTTCTTTCTGCTGCTTCAATCAAAACCAGAGCCACTGCCATCAAGTAAATTCTGACTAATAGTTCCCCTCTAGGACACCGAACTTCTCCATAGGGTTTCAGAGTCTAAATCTCTATGATATCTGACACCCTTTTCTTTCCCCTAAGGAACTGCTAGAGGGTTTGAACCACCAACTTTTAATTAGCCACTGCACTGGCAGGGCTCCATGAATCTTCTCTCTTTTCCACACAGGCATAGCAGTAAAGATATAGCTTGTATTGGAAATACATAGCATAAAAAAACAAACAAGCATGCAAAACAATCCCAAACCACCATTAGTCCTATCCACTTTCCCTCTTGCTAGTCTATAATCCCTGGCTTCCTCTCAGAAAGGCAATGAGATCTAGGTGAATCATGGCTGTCATGGGACTCCTTCTTTGCCTGCTACTGCCAGACATTCAAGAGTTCATAGGTGGGAAAAATTATTTCTGCCTTCTCTTCCTCCATATTGAAAAGCATTAAAAGGGGAGAATGAAACCTCCAGGCATATTCAGTGTTCTGATGAGGGCTTATCTTTACAGTTATTAGAATGACTCAAGGTTTAATATTGGTGTCCTTTATTAGATGATGAAATCAAATTTACATGTAAAAACAACAGCAAAAAATTCCCCAGGGAATTTAATTTATCCCAAGAAAATAAGAGATTCATGGAAGGAAAGTCCTCTGTCTACTTCCCCTCACAAATAATATTAAGGGGTGGAAGTTGAATAATTCTCAATATCTAATATAACAATGGTAGAAAAAAAAATTCATTATTTTCTCAGTGGAAAAATTTGAAATGATTATAATGATCATTATGAAGCCTGTCATGAAACAGAAAATTGCTTATTATAACAGATTAAAAAAGCAAAGCATGAAATGCAGTAAAACACAAGCTCAGTAATGACAACATTCTAGAAGCATGTGGGAAAATTCGGTTGTGCCTAGGGTCACTATGAGTTGAAACCGACTTGATAGCACCCAACAACAAATATACAAAAATAAGAACTATTGGGCTGAAAATTTGAATCCTTTTTTTTTTTTGCAGTTTTTCTTCCAAATTTCTAATGATGCGATGCATATATTTTATTTTCAGAAATAGGCCTGCTTATAGAGAAGCACATTGACCATATCAAATTACCCTTTTAGGAGTACACTGCGTTTATGGAAGTACTTCCTTCACTTTCCAGAGTCTCTGCCAACATGCACCCTAAAGACTTCCTCAGGCCTACACTGAGTCTCCATGCCCTCTGTAAAAGGGAGAAACCTACCTTTTTGAGACGTAGATTGATGGCATTGTTGCAATATTTGTACCAGACTGACTTGAGAATAGATGCAAAGGGGGTGACCCCAATCCCTGCTCCCACTAACATCACCACCTCATAGCTGAACACATCTTCACTGGCTGTCCCAAAAGGTCCATCTACCGCTATCCTGGAAGGAAGTGGAGGAAGAAGTAATTGCAACGATATCTTCTTGTTCCAAACTGGTAGAGCTCAAATCACTGCACTGGGGAATGTTGAACATACCAATTCAAACTGGAACAATGTGTCTATAGGGTGCCTCTATAATCTAGCTTTCAATTAATCAACTTACTGTAAGCATGGGGTTAGTAGTAAGAGAAACTTTCAGGTAACTAAACATTTGGTAACGCAGTCCAGGTCATTCTCTCTCTCTCGCTTTTTCTTTCTTTCCCCCTCTATTCTTCTTGCCCTTTTTCACATATGCACACACACAGACATACACCTGTATCTCCTGTCAGGGCAACTGTCCTTTGAAATTCCTACTCACTTTTCACAAAGAAGCAATAAATTCCTACATCATGATATGTTACAGATATACTTCCTCATTTTTCATTTGTTTTTAATTGACTCACTCAACAATATTAGATATGTATGGAGTAGGAGGCAACGGAGAATTAATTAATATATGGAATTTACCTTCAAAGAATTTATGCCAGTTTCACTTAAAAATATCTTAGATACACAATTGTTTTGTTAGAAAAAGTTGATACACCTTTCCCTTGACCAGTATATTATTAAAGGAGTTTTGGGGTATTCATTACTAATACTGGATTAAAATATTTTACATTTCATGCAAATTATAAATATAGGGAAAACAACACACAACATATAAAACGCAGAACACAGGGATGATATTTATTTTCTTAGAGCTGGTGTATTTCATCAAACTCTTAAGTGATAGAGCAGTAAGATATGCTGGAAAAGGTGATAGTGCCATTTCACCTAGACTTATGTACCTATGAAATGTGCATTTTGTACTCACTTAGGTAGTTTCCAGGCATCTTGAAACTCCTGCTTATCACAGCCACAGGCGTTGAACAGTCCTTCCGTCCAGTCGCCAACAATTCGGATATGGATGCTAAAGAAGTCTTCCTCAGGGGCGGACGTAAGTGTGAAGGGATGCCACTCCAGCCTGGATACTTTGGGGCATTTGACAAATATATATTGTCCCACCTCCATCTTGAACCCTTTCTTCCTCATCTGGAGCTCGATAGTTTTGAAAGGGTGCGTCACTACCTATGGAACAAAACATGTCCTTGGAAACTACAAATTTCCCAAATATTTGTCTTTTCTGGGTTCTTACATATCAGAAGGCTGAACTAAGATGTCATGGCCCAGATCTCTTTTTCAGGTTGAATATAACAGTTCCTCTAGCACATCTAGCATCTACTTAGAACCGCTGTCCATGGAAGCCAATGGTCAATGGATGGCTGATAAAGGGGTACAGAGACTTGGCCTCATCTCCGCAACTTGGGGGAACTCTGAGGGGTCCTTCCAACCCAGCACTCCTCACAGGAGTAACTAAGGTTGTAGTTCCAACCACAATGAGGGCCAGCATCTCTTTCTCCCCAATTATCAGTTCTGGAAATGCTTGCCAACATTTATTAAAATGATTTCTCACTCATTTCCTGCCTCCCTCCACCAGGGAAAGACCTAGTAAACATTAAGGACCTGTCTTCTTTCTTTTCTCTCTCTCTCTCTCTCTCTCTCTCTCTCTCTCTCTCTCTCTCTCTCTCTCTTTGTGATGCCCTCTCTAGTTCGTTTCTTGAGACCATGTCCCCCAATACATTTTCTGCATTAAATTTTTTGTCTCGGAATGAGCCTATTGTAGTTTTTTCCCTTTTTTTTTCAAGGAAAGTGCTCAAAATAGAAAAATAATTATAATTTCCTGCTGAACTCTTTCCTCAAGCCTTAGGGGATGAGTGAAGGACTTAGCAGTTGGGCAGAAGGAGATCCCAAACTAAGCCTGATCATGTTGGTTTATCTTTGTCCTGAATCATATCTTGAATATGTCTGATTCCTTGCTTTGGGCCTACATTTCCTCTTACCTGGGGAGTACACCATCTCATTGATATTTATTGAGTAGTCATAACAGCTTATTCACAATAGCACACAAAAAAGAGGAAAATATTCAAAAGGCCCATCAACTGGTGAATAACTACATAATTTAAAAAATAAGTTATATTCAAGAATTTCCATTGTAATATAGCAAATAATAATCTGTTCTCTGATAATTCCTAATATTCCCTAAAGGAACTTTATATGTCTAAATGAGGACTAATCTAAAGAAATCAAGGAAAACAACAACAACAAAATAATATATTCCTAAACTGGATGATATTACTTTAGGGGAGGCGGTCAAAGAATATGGGAATCTTTGTAATATAAACTGCCCAAAATCTCTAGAATTTATTATTTAAATATGTACTTTATTAAAAAGCCACAATGGACTCCGATTTTTGCTCTAAACAAAGTAGTTGTAAAGCCTCATTTTAAAACCAAAATTAAAAATTATATTGACTATTATATTTACTGGAGTCCTTGTGACACTCTAGAGTAAACATTGGACAGCCACAAGGTTGGCAGTTCAAACCTCCCAGCCACTTCATGGGAGACAGATGAGGCTATCTGGTCCTGTACAGATTTGCAGCCTAAGAAACCCTATACACTGTAGCTAAGCCTTTAAATGTACTCCATGGACATGGCTATTTTACCTAAATAAAAAGTGCTGCTAGATAATATGCTCACTGGAAAGCTTTTAGGTAACACCTTATTTCTTATATTTGCTTATATGAGAAAATGATTATCTATTTTCTTTACAGTTAAACAGTTGTCTTGGGAATTTTTTTAAGGGAAATATTTTTCTGGATTAGTCTTTTGTAGACTAGTAAGGGAAATTTTGTGGCAACTTATTTTGCTGATGTGTAAAATTTCTCTTATAACACAATATAAATACCATAAAAAGAGAACTGTTGTGGCTTTCTACATTTCAAGACTTCCTATTCCAGTTGGGCAAACTACTGTGACTCTCCATAGCTGCCCACAGAGAACTACCCTGCAGGACAGGAAAAATGTGTACGGGTTACAAAAATTATTCAGAATAAGCTTTTGGTAACTACATTTAGAACTAAGTTGAATGGAATTAAATTGTCTTTGGCATAAATAATCCTCCCTGGTATTTCTTGAAACTATAAGAAGGAATTTCTATTTATGTTTATTTAGTTGCATGTTTATTTATTTTGTGGTGAAAAGTGTCATGGCAGAGTAGATATAAACATTGGACAATTGGCGTTAGGAGACCCAGTTTGAGATATCACTTAGTTACTAATATGCTTGAGATTTGGGGCACTTCAACTATCAGGCACAGAAAAAGTCAAGGAAAAAGATGTAGGAAATAATCTTAACTTCAACCAGGCATTCACTTGGTCCTCAAAGTTTTGCGAAATCTTAATATTTTAAGATTGAATCATCATCTTTTTGAACTCATTCTTTTTTTGTCTACCAACCCACTCTTAACTAGCCACACGCTATCTCTATGCTTCTCCACTACATACACACATGTACACACACCTTCACGCACACAAATGTACTTAAATTCTCTTTGCAACAGAAAATCATAACTTCAAGTTTCCCTAGTTATAAGGTCTTAAATATCCAGTTGACTCTCAAGCAATGCCCTTGAAATAAACTGTAGGTCTGGCTCGGCTATATAATAAAAAATAAATGGGTTCAAAAGACGTGCAGTCAATGCTATAGAATGCTTGAGTCCATGATGTAAATAGATACTGCTAGCAATTCCTTCACCAACCAATACCTTGGTGATGACCACCTTCTGTTGAGATCGCCAAAACCGGACCAACCTCTCACAAAGATACAGGAACATGGGACCCACTATCCATTTCCAAGTCTGTAATCAGAGCAAAAATTAAAAAGAGTGTGGTAGGGTATGGCAGCTAATAAAGAAAAGATTCCTACAGACAAATAAATAAATAAATAACCAATGGATCTACAGTATGTAGATTTGCTTCAATTTTTGAAATTAGATTTGCAAATTTCTTGTACAATAGAACACTTGGCACATGGGCAGTAATCTTAAATTAAAGTAAATGTTTGAGCCTATAAAATTGAATATTCTCCTTGGTCACATTAGGGAACTATATTTACAGTATGAAACTTTCCCAAGAGGAACTACCCACAAGACTGGGTTTTCCTTTCAGTGTTGAAATACAGTTGTTGCTATAACCCTAGAACAGAACAAGGATGGTTTCAGAATAAACATTTCTAGAAAAGACAGAATTTCAGCAACTCCATATTTTTTAATGCAATATTGCAAATGCTTTCTCTTGAAAGGTTCAAAATTTTTGTGCAAGAATTTAGCTGTTTCTCCAATATCCTGGTAAGTTCTGGAAACTTTGCAGTGCATTTGTTGAGAGGGAAAAAACAAAAAGATTTTAAGATTTATCCACATTCCCTTTTGCAAATACACAGTATTTCAAAATATTGTCAATATTTTGTAACATTTTTAGCTATATAAAACCATATAGGATAAAAAATTTCATCTTGGTACTCAATCAATTAAGTTCATAATTTATATTCTCAAAGAACCCAAACTTTTTAGAAGCCAATGGGAATATTATTTTAAAAGGTGATTATTTCTCAGAACAGAATTTTTACAAATTAAATCAGGACATGCCTTCCACAGTCTTACATTTGATCTGTTCTATTCCCCCTGTCCCTGCTCCCAGAAATTTACCGTAGAAAATTGGGAGTACCTAAATGTTTTACATCTCCAGGCAAGAATGAAGAATATTTGCCTCAGGACTTTTATGTTGCTGGCCTTCATTTTCATGTGACAAGTTTTTAAAAGTCTCCTATTATCTATCTGTATCCTCCTGGGGACCACTATTCGATGCAACTCAATGGAGCCAATGCTTGGACGTGGCCTCTAATAGTCTGAGAAACCCAAACACTCCATTGAAGTAGATGTCTGTTAAGGTATTCTGATTTCAGCTGCTATTGAAGAAATGTGCTTTCTTTCCCCCAGTCCATAGGAAGACTGAAAATACAGTTCCTCTTTCCCTTTGGCTATTGATATAACACCCGCACTTAGTGGGATGGTTCATTAATGTGTGTGGTGGCTTTTCATGATGGGCAACGATGCTTAAAGCTTTTGAGTCCTCAGACACCATGCTATATCTAGAAGAATACTCCTGTGCTAGGAATTGTTGTTTGAAAGTGTCCTTGAGTCATCTCCAATTCATAGCAACCCTAAGTACATGAGCTGTGGTCATATAAATAGTGAAATGCTCAGCTGCTCATTGTTAAGTTGACTCATAGTAACCCTGCAGGAAGAGTAGAACTACCCGCTGTGGGTTTCCCAAACTGTCAATCACTGTGGTAGTCGAAAGCGTCATCTTTCTTCCGCAGAGCAACTGGTGTTTTCAAGTTGCTGACCTTGTGGTTAGCATAACCCATAATTCCACGGGGGTGCAAGCAATAAACATTACTGCCTGCCAATTGGAGATGCTTTTTCACTTCGAGCAGTTCTATAGTATTTGTAATGCACAACTTGATGATATTTGGATGTGTTTCTTAGATACAGGTCGAAAATTTTCCATAATAACACTGTAATAGCAACAATACCAATGATACATACCATGGGAGGGTTCCCAGAGAATTGTGGGACTGGGCAGTCCTTTATTTTCCCCCAGTCTGAGATATTTTGATAACATGTCTGTGGTTTGTGTTCTTGCAAACTCGCCTCCGTCTGTCCACGTACAATTCGTCTGGAGAGCAATTATAAATCCAAGGCCATTAGTAGGAAGAAATTAAATTCTTTGTATTTGAAGGTTCTGGGTACATTTTAAATACTCTAATGGAGTAAGTGGAAGGAACCCTGATGGTGTACTGGGTTTCTCACTGGGCTTTTAACTGAAGGTTAGCAGGTCAAACCCACAAGGTGAAAAGAGGTGGCTCTCTGATCTTGTAAAGATTTATCCTTGGAAACCCAGTGGGGTAATTCTACTCTGTCTTACAGGGTTGCTAAGAGTCTAAATTGACTTAATGGCAGTGAGTTTTTTTTTAATTTGATGTAGGTTGATGGAGTGCTGGTGACATGACTGAGTTATCAGTAATATGGGTTTAGGTGACATTTTGATTATCAGTTTGACTACTAACCTCAAGGTCAGCATTTCAAACACACTAAACATCAGTGAGAAGCATACTCCCCATACAAGTAGCTTTGAGACTTAACATAAACCCAATGAGGCTTAGTAGCCCTCAGATTTAGCAGACTTGCTTTACTTGGGTACAAAAACTGTCTAGGTTAAACCAGAAGTCAAAATCCATTTAAGAATTAGCTTCAGAGGGAATATGAACTGTTCATAGATATTGATATTGATGACATATCTTCTGAAGTGCCCAGAGTCCAGTTGCTCAATTCAATAAATATCAACTGAGCAACTATTAAGTTAGAAAACACTAGTGTGTTTAGTGGGGATTAGGAAATGGTGAAAAAAGTCAAGGAAGTCATATCTCTGACTGTGAAGCACATAAATGACAGTGCCTTCACAATTAATAATAAAAAGGAGCATAGAAGTCTCTTTGTACATTTTGTTTTGGAGATCTACAATATATCATGCTATTTAGTATATTCTGAGAATGTTTTAATGCCAGCTAATTAATCATCCCTTTGGATCCCCGAGGGAGTCTTAGCGTTATTATGGGATAAGTATTGGGCTACTAAAAGCAAGGTCAGAGGTTCAAACCCATTAGCTGTTCCATGGTAGAAATACAAGGCTATCTGCTCCCATAAAGATTTATAGTCTCACAAGGTCTATATAGGGTCAATAAGTGCTTTAATGGACTCAGCGGCATGAATTGATCACTTATTATTTGTCAGGTCAACACAAGGCACTATATGAAAATCATCTCATCTAACCTTCATAATAAGTTTCAAAGGCAAGTATTACTAGTTGCATTTTACATATGGGAACATCAAAGTTTAGAGAAACAAGGCAACTTAAAGGAGAATGATTTGGTGGAAAGATTCTGGATCAGAATCTTTAGTTCAAATTTCAGTTCTACCACTTACTAGTTAGGTAGCCTTGGACAAGTTACTTAACCTTTTAAAATTAAAAAAAATTTAAATCTGTTTCTTCTTTTAAAAAAATAAGTGTAATCAAAGATTTATCTTAGTAATTAAATGCATGATTTTAAAATGGCAGACACAAAAACCTACTCGCTGCCATTGAATTGATTCCAACTCACAGAAGCCCTATAGGACAGAGTGGAACTGCTCCTCGGGGTTTCTGAATCTTTATGAGATAAGACAGCTTTAACTTTCTCCCATGGAGTTGTTGTTAGTTCCAACTGTTGACCTTGCAGTTAACAGTCCAACATGTAACCCACCAGGATTTATTGTCAGACACATCATATTCAACAAATGATAACTATTCAAGTTCTTAATGTTCAAGTTCACATAAAAAGGAAATGATCTCATTATTGCCTTCATTTCTCAATGCTAGGATGAGGAATTAGAAAACCTAGAGACAAATTCCAATTTAGACTTTACCCAACCACGAGACTGTGAGCACTCACCTAACTAGTGTATTAGATTCTCTTCAAATGATGAATGGGGTAGCTATTACCTCCTTTGCCTACTCCAAAGGACAATACATTTCTGTGAAACTACTCAAACATAAAGTAATACTATTACTAAGCTAGAGAGGGGAAGATATTCTTTCTGTTTTCTAAAATTTTCTGAAACAGCTGGGATCACGGGTAAATTCCATTAAAACCCACTGTCATCAAGTCAACTCCACCTCAGAGTCACCCTTTAGGACAGAGTAGAGTTGCTCCCTAAAATTTCTGAGATTTAAACTTTCTAAATGCAGGCAGCCTCCCTCACCTTTCTCCTGAAGTATAGCTTGTGAATTGAAAGCACCAATCTTGCAGTTAGCAGTCAGTCCAATGCTTAACCCACAGTGCAGTTAGGGCACCTGAAATCCCTTTTAGAGACACTCATTTGCTTTAAGGTATTCACAAGGTTTTTGTCTAGTGCTTTTTTTTTTAATGTTTAGAAAGATTATTATCATCCTAAAAGAACCAGAATCAGCAAGCTGATCAAGAAAGCACACTGGTGCTTGCCTAATGTGGTCTCTCCCCACACTTCCCCTTTTCACACCGGGTCATGGCCTCCTCTAGGGCAACTTGACTTGTGGCTCTGAGAATTATTGAGCTTTGAGCAGCTACTTCCTCAAGCCCTAGCCCACACCCAGTAGGGAACTTCCCCAGGCCCATTTCTGTCTCTGTGTGATCAATCAGCTAATAAAAAACAATATACAAAGTAACGTTATATTAAAGAGGACTCCTATTAAGGCAAACTCTCTTACCCACACACCTAGGTGCTGTGTGTCCTATCAGAGCATTTATGAAAGCCTGCCTTAGACCCTTTGGACTCCAAACCTACCATGTCACTTACCAACTGGCTAATAGGCTACACAGTTTCCTTGTCTTTAAGGAACTTTGTGGCATAGTGGATTGTAAATTAGGCTGCTAACCACAAGGACCAAAGTGCAAACCCACCATCAACAATGAAGCTGTCTGATCCTATAAATATTTACAGGCTTGGAAACCTTAAGGACAAGAGCAGTTCAACTGTCTGATGGGTCCCTTTGAGTCTGAATTGACTTGATGACAATGGTTTGGTTTTGGGGTTTCCTTGTCTGGAGGAGTCCTAGTAGCACAGTGGTTAAAAATATTCAATTGCTAATTGAAAGGTTTGTAGTTCAAACCCAGCAGCTGCCTCGTGGGGGGAAAAAGAAGCTGCAGTCTGCTTTCATAAAGATTTACAGCCTTTCAAAGTCTTTGGGGCAGTTCTATTCTATCCTATAGGGCCCTTTGAAATGGAATCAATTCAATAGCAATGAGTTTCATTTGTGGTCCTTGTCTGTAAAATGGGAGTAATAAGAACATGTACATATTTTGAGGATTAGCACAGAGTCTGACATAGGACAGGTGCTCAACAAAGGTTCGATGTTATCTTTATTATAATAGAATGTTTGAAGGTAATACTCATGTAGGGTTTTTTTCCCAAGCATTCCCCACAGTGCTAGAGATTAACTCCCATATTCAGTAAGCAAGAAATAAGTGATTGCTGCCCTAAATCAAACTCATTGAACTACAATAAATCCCTTCAACTGATTCATCATTAATGTGCTTAATTTGGAAAGTCACAGAAGACATTTCTACTTAGACTTTGGTTTAGTTTTCACACTTTCTATAAATAGCAGCACCTTGAATAGAAATTAACTGCAAGAAGGTGAAGTAGTGCTTAAATTTTTCCATTGGGCTGACCTCCACTGCCCTGCCCCCTTAGATTACCTTGGTCATCAGGTTGACAACATACACATAAGTGGATCATTGTGCCTCTAACCCAGCATCACATGTAGAAACTAGAGCTGAAAAGTACTTGGCCTTGGAATTTAAACACTCACTGAGCTCCATGAATGGCAAGACCAATGAAGAAGATCACAAATAGATGGTGTGTGTACCAAAACACTTCAAAGTAAGATCTTCGGATAGTTTTGGTAGAGGAGGTGATAATTAATATGAGACAGAGTGTGATGACAATTCCAGTGATTCCTGCCAGTAGAGTCACAGCCACGTACAGACCTCCTTCAGGGTTCTAGGAAATATAAACACATGCATGCATAATTTATATGCAGAACTACTTATTTATAACATGTCTAGCATATAAGGTAAGAGGTATTCTCATGTCCCCGTTGGATACTCTTAAATATGTATATATATAATCAATTTCACCATACATATTGAAATTGATATTTCTGAATTGTTTATTTTTTAAGGCTTACATGTTTGAGATGCCATCAAACCAAAAAAGCAAACTCATTGTCATGGAACTGATTCTGACTCAAAGCAACCCTATAGGAAGATTAGAATGCTCCTCTGCGTTTCCAAGACTTTACATCTTTACAGTAGCATGCACTTTCATCTTTCTCCTGCAGAGTGACTGGTACATTTAATTCACTGACTTTGTATTTTGCCCCTCACTGTGTCGCCATCTGTGCCACGAAATTCACTGCCATCAAGTCAATGTTGACTCCTAGCCACCCTATAGAACAGAGTAGAACTGTCCCTGTGAATTTCCACAACAAAGGAAGGAAATCAGTTGAGCATAAGATGCCCTAAAATTGTCTGAAGTTCATTCTTCTTTTGATTTGGAAGTAATGATCACAGTGCTTTTCTAGTGTCATCCAGAGGGCATGCATTATGGACATATGTAACAGCTTAGGCGGAGTTTCCCAAAAGTAGTCCATGTGGAGTGTATTAATGGATAACTGATTTATAAAAAGGTGTTCTTTAAGGAAAATGGTATGTGAATAGAGACCAAGATAGGAAAAAGGAAAAAGTCACATAAGGTATGACTTCAAGCAGTTGCATAGAGGTTAGCTTAGGCTTGATCTTGTAAGGGAACTCCAGAGGGTAAGTCACACCTCAGAGTTTGTCCGGCCTCCAGGTAAAGGAGCTTGGCTGTCATGGCCTGCATTCATCGATCGAAGGAGAGTTAACTATTCAGACTCTCCCAGAGTTCTGAATTTATGGGCAAAATGACACTAGTAGGCTCAGGAGAGTCCTCTGAGGAAGAAACACAAGTACAGACCATTGAAAGCAAAAGCATACAGAAAGGGGGAAGGTGGCACAGAAAGTAAAAGTGACCCATAGGAAGCAGGAAAGAGTGCAGTAGTGTCTGCATACCTAGAATGTTCACACTGCCACCTTTTTATATCATTGTACAAACAATGAACAAAAATAAAGGGGAAAAAATCAAGATATTGTAGAAAAAAGTTGTGTTGTTTTGCTTGTAGTTCAGTTCAATTCTGTCCACAATTACTCAAGGCAAGCTTTTCTCATGTAACTCAGAGGATAATATTCTTTCTAACAATAAGAGTTTCCCCTTGTAGTCTTTTCTAAATGCAAGGGAAAATGTTTGGAAGTTGGTGTACACATATGTGATTTAACTCTCCTGAGTCCTTGAACACATAAAGATGATTTGGAGTTTGTTCTCTGAGTATAGACAACCTCACATCTTCTTAAGGTGAAAGGACAGAAATATTTGCCTCTGAATGTATTGATTGTTGCTCTTGGAGAATTTCTCAGTTACTCACTGTGCACTATGCTTTTCACGGAACAAAAATTAGCAGATATAGTCCACCAGGAAGATGTTCTAAGGAGGAAAGAACAAGAGTACCCCTGACAAGTGTAAGCTGCTGGCTGGTCTGGTATTACTATTTAGCACATGGAGATCCCTATATAACATGACCAAGTTCACCGAACACTAAAATCAGGAGAGGTCACATTGCAATCATGATGGATTAAGATGAAATGAAATCACTCCAAAACTATGCTTGAGTGCTACTTGATTATCTATCAATGATTTACTCCATGCCATTCCTTCTATTGCCTAGAAAAAAATCAATATCCTCAGTCATAGAACTCCACCCCCACCCACCCCCCATTCCTGGCCCAAGCCAGAGCAGTAAATAAGAGGGGCTTCAAAAACTGCGTGAAAAAAATGGAATGATAAGGCTATTTTCCCATGAACTTTTTGAACCCCTTCATATTTTCTTCCTTAAGATCACCTAAACACAAACCTTAATTCTTTAACAAGCCCTTCTTTTATTAGTATTATTTTTTATTTTTGTTTATTTCTTTTTTAAATGCTTTTATTGAGGGCTATTACATCTCTTATCACAATCCAAACATTCTTCCAGTGTGTCAAGCACATTTGCACATATGCCTCCATCATCATTTTCAAAGCATTCTCTTCCCACTTGAGCCCCTGATATCAGCTCCCCATCCCTCCATCGCCTGCCCTCCCTCACAGACCCTTGATAAGTTATAGATTATTTTTTCCATATCTTACATCGTCCTCCATCACCCCTCACCCACTTTTCCGTTATTTGTACCCCTGGGAGTGGGTTCTAAGTTGATCCTTGTGACCAATTCCCCTTTCTCCCCCCACCCTCCCCTAATCCTCCTGGTATGTCTACTCTCCTTGTTGGCCCTGATGGTTTTATCTATCCTGGATTCCCTGTGTTTTGGCCTCTTATCAGTAGCAGTGTGCATGCTCTGGTCTAATTGTATTTGTAGAGTAGAACTGAGGTCATGATAGTGGGGTGAAGGAAGCACCAAAGAGCTAGAGGAAAGTTGTGTGTTTCATCAGTGCTATACTGCACCCTGACTGGCTCATCTCTTCCCTGTGACCCCTCTGTGAGGGGATGTCCAATTGTCTACAGATGGGCATTGGGTTGCCACTCCATGCCCCACCCCCAATTAACCTTGGGTATGGTTGTATTCTGGGTCTATAATACTCTCCTGAGGTACCTTGGGCTTTCTCATGGTTTTAGGTCCCTTGCTTTAGGAAGTGATTGCTTCAGTTTTGTTTTATTATACTTGTGTTTCTGACCTTCTTTGACTGGTGGACACCATCTTGGGTGAGCTGAGGATTACTGTTATTCCAGACTCCTTGGACACATTTTCACAGGTAAGCTTAAAACCTGGAGAACGTGTTTAGATTCTCCATACACAAGATCAAGAATGTGGTGGAGATTTTTCTCTCTTCCCACATCCGTATTACCTACACATCTTATTCACTGATGTTTAGTCAAATTTTTGTTATTCAAAGTAGAACATTTTGCTCACTGACATCTAGCTTTTAGTTTTAACAGCTTAGGGAGCATCTGAATTAGCAAATGAAAAGCTTACCTTGATTCTTTTGCGAGCAAAATTGAGATATGTTTCACCAGGTTTATCTCCAATGTCAGAGAGCGCTATTGAATACGAATCTGAATTGTTGACACGGGCGTTCACACAAAACTCCACATTAAATAGATGTGCAATAGTATGAATAGCTAAAGAGGGTAGAGAAGAGAAACAAAGAGGGTAAAATGTGTGTACACTTTTATTGCATGACAGCCTTTCTGCTGTACTGCTGGACACAATGATATGTCTCAGAGGTACACAGAAGCCAGGACACTTACAAATAAGAACTAGGTATCCAGGACCAGAGAGACAAGACAATTGAGGAAGAACTCTCTTGTGATTGTGTGCACAACACATAAGCACTCCAGCTGTGGTTTCCTCATTTGTAAAAATGTGAAGTTTTGTTTTTACAAATGATGAAGTACGTGATTCTAAAGACCCAAGTTCTCAGATTCTACAAAATAGTCTTAATCTCTGAGGGTGCTTATGTATGCTTTCATTCTCTCTCTCTTTTGTACATAAACAAGAAGACTCTTGGGTATTGTATGCCTATGGTCAATGCATTCACCAGTCACCTGACTGTGATATTAACTTCAGAGAAGGTAATATAAACCAATGGCAGTAAATATGGTTCTTGTTAAAAACAAAATGAAGCGCTCTGTCCTATGGGGTCTCTGAGTCAGAATCGACTCTATAGCAGTGATTTTTTTAATTGGGTAGAGAAAGGGCTTGTGATTGACTTGCTTTTGTAGAGATGACAGCCTAGAAAATCCTATGTAGTTAGTTCTACTATTTCCCACTATTTCCCATCGCTATGGGTCCAATATGAGTCAACGCTACCTAATAACTACAATAGAATCACTTCATTTCATAAAGGAGGAGATTGAGGCTGCTTTAAAACCTTTCCCAAAGTCTAAACTAGAAAGTAGTAGTTGGGATACAAGTCTAGGAAATTTGGCATTCATTTTTTAACCAGTACATTATGGTGTTTTTCTAATAACATTTTATCAAAAATTTCCTTTTATACGATCTCACTTCCCACAGCTCAGTCTGTCTGCTCCACTGTTAGAAGAAGGGAAACATAATTCAAGCCTTCTAGGGACAACTTCTTAACACAGTAAACACCACTGTGCATGTCCATGGTCTAGCAATCCAATCCATGGATATTTGATAAGGGTCCCAGATACAGCTCCTCCTTTCACCCTAATATACCCACTCTCTATACATCAAGCTCTCTGGCTAGAACGTTTCAAACTTATCCAACAACTATTTTCAGGAGTTCCCCACTTCCCTAACTACAGGTTTCTTTCTCTTTCTGAATTTCTAGTTACTTCTATTGCTTTACACTTCAAGTGTTCAACTACTCCCCCCCAAATGAAAACAATAATGATAATTAACAGCAACAACAATTATAGAGACATTTCCTCTAATAAGTGATTTTTCATTTTATGGGCTCTAGAGGAGCCCCCGGTGGTGTAGTTGTTACCAGTTGGGCTATGATCCACAAGGTCCAAAGTTCAAAACCACCAGCTACCACAAGAAGGAAAGACCCTGGCTTTTGACACCTTAAAGCAGTTACAGTTTCAGAAACTCACAGGGGCAGTTCTACCTTGTCTTACAGGGTCACTATGAGTCGGAATTAACTTGATGCCAATTAGATTGTTTTGTGTTTTTAAGTGCTTATGCAGTTACTGTAAGAAATCAACAAAGTCAAATACGGACCAAACATTTTTATTAAATGAATAAATACTTCCATGTGAATTTAGAAACATTATTTGATATAAAAATAGAATCCTCACAATGGAAAGGAAACAACTCTTCTCATGGCACAGTTTAAGTTTTATAGGAATATTCTCAAGATGAAACATGATAAGACCTAAACTTACATATCCTAGTATTGGAATGACAGAAAGTTTGACGACTTTTGAATTTAATAAAAATACACCGCATAGTCAACCTGATTTATCTATAAAGTCTGGCCTCCTACAAGAAGCATTTAGCAACAGAGGCTCCAAGTTTTCCTTGCAATCTAAAATGCCTTAATCAACTTACCAGTGTGAAGTGCAATCATCCATGCTACCATTTTATGAAAGGTGAGGTTCCTGTCCAATTGTCTTCGAATTCTTGTCGAGCAGCACTTTGAATTAAGGGAAGAAAGAATAGGATAGTAATTGTTAACATGAATGTATTCTCTATTTGATATGTATCATGTCATTTAAGTCTCACAACCACCCTGCAAAGTACTATTATTTCCCTCGTTTACTAGATGAGAAAACCAAGGCTCAGAAAGATGCAAAAGTTCAGTAAACGAGGATAATGATAATACTTTGTAGCTACAGATGCTGAAAGAGACAAGGCTCTTTCTGTATACATTAGAAAAAGAGAGAGCTTCTCCTTACTACATATACACTGTGAATTTTGATTTCTAGCCCCCAGGACAGTGAGAAAATATATTTCTGTTCTTGAAAGTCAACTAAATTGAGATATTTGTTATGGCAGACCTGGGAAACTAGGATGACTAGAAGGGAAGATTACAAAAAGAAAAAAAAAAAGAATTAAACTTTATTGGAGGTTTTCTGTGAGCAGGGAAGTTTACTTATAATCATTATCTCCTTTAATGCAATGAGGTACACAATCTTGTTCTCATTTTACAGATAAGAAAACTAAGGTGAAATTTTCACAATGGTTGGGATCAAAGTCTATTGTTGCTGTTTTAAGGTTCGTAAGGTTCATACTCTTTCCCAGCAAAATAAATGCAAACATATAGTCTAAATGTCTAATGTCATGAGACAAGAATTTAAATGTAAGTGCTTTATTTGGAAGGTGATCTTTAAAAGTGTGGGTAGGGAGGTGTAGGATGAGACTAGTGTATCATCATACCAGGCTCTCAGAAGAAAGATTTCCTTTTTGAAATAAGTTATGTACATGTGAAAAATGATTATCCTTATTTTCTTATATAGTGCTCCTGCATCTTTTGTGTTGTTTCCAAGTGTTGAAAGTGTATTGCTACTTTTTTAAGAATGAACTTGGAAGTCGATTTTCAGAGGAGTACTTAGTCCAGTCTACAACTTTATCTCAGGTTTTTGATACCCTAAGCAGAGAGAACCTAGCCATGGGATGCTGGATGTATAGAACTTATAATTTATTAACTCAAAAGATTGTTGTTGTTGTTGTTTAAATTCATGGGATTTGTGACAATTTCTAACATAACAACAGACAACTAAGGAAGTCTTTATAAGAATGATGACACCATTGGAATCCTAGGAATTAGAGAATGGGAATCAGTAGTGTTGAAAAGCAATATTGTGTGACATTTCAGAGAACAACTTTTGCTGTGAGATCTACCTGTGTTGGAAATCAATCCTACCACTGAGTTGTTCGCTATGGAACAATTTCCTCAGTCTTCAGTTTCCTCACCTATGTACCTATCATAGTTCTTCCCTCATAGGTCTAGTGCATAGATCAATGGAAAATTGTTAAATAGAGGGGAAGTTTCTTGTAAAACCAATAAACAAAACAAAACCTGTGACTGTGGAGTCAATGCTGACTCAGTGACCTTACAGATGAGAGTACGACAGTCCCATAGGGTTTCCAAGGTTGCAATCACTATGGAAGCTAATTTCCGCATTTTTCTCCCACAGAGCAGCTGATGAGACTGAACTGCTCACTTTTCAGTTACCAGCCAATTCCTTAATCACTCTGCCACCAGGGCTCCTTCGGCTTCCTGTGTTGTGTACATTTTAAAATATTTGAATAATTATTTACTTGAATAATAAATTACACATTCATTGTCCTAGAACTGAAGATGATTACCATAAACCTGTCTTTGTTAAGTGTTGTCCAGTTAGGTCTGATTCACAGCAGAAACACCACCCAGTCCTGCACGATCCTCCCAATCACTTCCATGTTTGCGCCCGTCATGCTTCTACTTTTGCAATCCATTATTACTGAAGATTGTGCACCTTTCCCAAGTTAGGGTAGTTTCAGTGCCCTCAGATGCACAGGGAATCTGTACAATGAGTGAGGAAGATTGCAGAAGAATGGATGCATTTGAATTGTGGTGTTGGTGAAGAATAATGACTATACTATGGACTGTTAAAAGAATGAGCAAATTTGAGTTGGAAGAAGTATGCCAGAATGGGCCAACATCATGCATGCTAAACCTAAGATATATTTACCCCCATTTCCATGTTACTTGCTATATTGCTTTATTTTCTACTTCCTGATGAATACTTTTGAAACTTTTGGCTAGGAGAGGGGGTGGGGGAAGAAACACTGGTTCATATGCTGAATTTGAAGGCAAATAATGTGGTTTTGTCATGGTTCCTCTTATCTCCACATCTTAATTTTATCATTAATATCAATATGAATTATCAAAAACATGAAACAAAAGATATTGATCCCATTATTTTTTTAGCTACAGACCTTTAGGGAAAAAATAAACTGAATGTCAGAACAATGCAGAGATATGTTTGTAAAATACAAGGTCCACTCAATAATACTTTGTTTATTCTGATAGTTTTTTTAAAGGTTTTTACTTAATATAAAACACATGCATTTTGTAAAAGGAATAGCAGATGTTCTTAGTACCAATCATCCTTTTTAGCATAATCAAGATTTAAAAATAGAAAAACAAACAAACAAACAAACAGAGACCACGAGTTGTACACATAATTGGTTTCCAAGAATATGGAAATATTGCCTCAATAATGCAGATCCTATTTGTGTGCTTTTGAGTTGCTTCTAAATTACTGAAAGTCACTATCAATTACCCAAACCACCATCATACCCATGGGTTCCTCATTATAGTACCTCTTTCCTTTCTGTTATAGTCTTTTAAAGAAAAATTTTGGTTACTGCCCCTTGCTGAATCTCAAGAAAGTGATATTCAAGTGCAAGCCAGACTAGTGAGTCATCTTAGCAGATTTTTAGGCTCTATTAAAATTCTAAAAGAAAGGGGAAAATCATTTTTAAAAAGAGAAGTGGAACTAAAACGAATGGGCTGTATTGAGTTTACATTGAAGAAATATGAAAGTATTTTGTTATGTACACTTGGTTTTAGCACATATTAAGACTCAAACTCACAGCCATTGAATAGATTTCAACTCATAACCACCCTATAGGATGGGCTAGTACTACCTGTATGGGTTTCTGAGATTGTAACTCTTCACAGAAGAAGAAAGCCTCATCTTTCTCCCTTGGAGCAGTTGGGGGTTTCAAACTTCTGAACTTGCTGTTAACAACCCAACTTGTATCCCACTATGCCATCAGGTTCTTTTTTTACCACGTATACTATTAATGAATTAGAACTACATATGTGCTATTTGGGAGAACTTGCAAAAGCCAACTTTCAAACTATAGAACACAGTCTAAGAAGCTGTCAGTAAAGTCTAAACCTAATGGAGAACATCACCTTATATTTGTATACTGGTAATCATTTTGCAATTATGTGTTTATTTTCTGTCCCCCACAAAATACCCTAAGCTCCTTGAATCCATGGCCTATTTATGCCTTACTCTTCACCCTCCATGTATCCCTACAGCTTAGCATGTAGTTTGCATTCAACAAATATCTGCTGACCAACAATTCATTAATTGACAGACTACATTAATTACCATATATACTCGAGTATAAGCTGACCCAACATTTTCAAAATTTTATTTTGACAATTTTGGGTCTACTTATACTTGAGTATATACAGTAATATACTCTTCAAAAGTCAGTTTCATTCTGATATTTACATTAGTCTTCTTTTTTCTGGCCAAGAAAATGTTGAAACAGAATATCTAAGAGTCTATGTGCATAGACATAAAACCATGTTAAAGGTCTCTGACTCCCAAACAATATAAAGCTAGAGAGAAGACCTTTCCTTCCTTGTTCTTTAGGATTTTAAGACTGGGACTTCTGTTCAGTTAAAATTTATTTCTGAATAGCAAGTTGGGGTTATCAAGGCTTCTTCAGGGACCTCTATATTTTTAGTCCCACCCTTTCCCCAATCTCCTTTAACAAAGTACGCAGAAAACGTTTATCCCTACCTTCCCTGAGGTGGGCCAACCTTGGGGCTTTCTTTATCCACATAATCAAAACGGTTAAAAAACAAAGTCCAAAGGATTAAGACCACGCAAACTCAGTGAGAGTTCTGTGGTTTTGTTCATACTGTGTCCTACTAACGAATTCTTGAAGTTACAACATACTTGTCATTTCTACTGTGGGTTTTTTGCCTTGCTCAAACATTTATATTGGCCAAGACTAAGTTACAGGAGCCCTGTTAGCATATTGGTTATGTGTTGGGATGAAAACTACAAGGTCAACCGTTCAAAACCACCAGTTACTCCACAGGAGCCCGGGAAGCCCACAGGAGCTGTTCGACTGAGCCTCATAGGGTTGCTATGAGTTGTAATCTACTTGATAGCAATGAGTAAAACTAAGTAAAAGTAGGAAGATGAGAAGTTGGAAGGCATTACACAATCGTGGAAAGAATGAATTCAAGAATACCCATGATCATGAAGATGGTGCACCACAAAAATGGACAGTGTTTCATTCTGTTACATATTATGTAACCATGAGTCAATGCCAACTGGATGGCAACCAGGAACACTAGCATTATGTTTTCCAGCATTAATGCTGGGAGACTGAGTCATTTAAATCTCAAAGATGAAACCATTTCATTTCCAAAGTTCACATTTCAAGTTGGGAATAAGGAAAAGAGGGACACATCTTGTATATAAATGAATTTTGCTTGCTGCTAGTTTTATACTTATTTATTGCTTATAAATATATATGTATTCCTCAAATTTAAAAAAAAAAAAAGGACTTGTCTAGTTAGAGAACCAAGCTTCTCTGATTTGAAGAGTAAGCTCATTTCATACCTGCCTTTAAAGAAACTGATGCAGATCTTTCCCCTAGACCACAGGAAGCCTAACAGCTGCCATTACAACATGTACTGTTGACAAGAACGGTAGCTCCATAGCAGTGTCATTTGGGCTTTGGGGGCAACAAGAGTTTCTAAAGCGGACATCCTGGTGAAAACACTGCTGTTTCTCAGTTTGCTTCTTCTAAGTTGAAAGCATTCAAGCAGGGGAGATGGAGAGATAGAGTCAGATTTCATTATTTTAAAAAACAAACACAACAAACTACCGTCAACATGTGCCTATTGATCACTTACAAATATCAGGTACTTTAGAATGGGATCATCAATAACACTTTCAGTCATGTGGAATTTTGCCACTGTGGTTTCTTAGGTTCAGAAGATTATTCGGAGATTTCTTGTTACCAGTGTTATTGCTAATACTATGTGCTGCATTTAGTTTTTGTTAACTTTGGGTTAGTTTATGGCCTACAGTAAGGAACCTCACCACAGTATTATCGGGGGCGGGGGGGCGGGAAGCCGTGGTTATTTCTGGAACATCTTAAATTGTTTGTCAACATTATTTGGTAATAGCTGTTTTGAGTTTTTTCTTGTTTTTCTGGTGAAGGGGTTAGATTTTTTTCTCTTAATGTTGACGTTTAAAATTTACTTGTTAGAACTCAATTTTGGCAGTAAGTTTAAGATTAAATGGAATTTGGTACAGAGTTATGTCATAAAAATAAAAGCTTAGTTGTAGACCATCAATCATCTATCAGTCAATTGAAAGTTCTATTAGTCACACAAAGAAACAACATCTCTTTAGCAGCAATGTGAATTTAGTAGGAATAGAAAACACGAGGGAGGTTTCAAGGCAAGTTATACTCTTTGTTGAAAACTTAATTCACTTTTCTCCTCCCTGTTAAACTGTGATTATCAAATTAACTAATAGTTAGCAACTTACACATTTAACTTTCTAATTTATCAGCAAGGCCCTGCCTCTCCTCTCCAGCCTCACCTCAGACACATGCCCCCTACAATCCCTACACTCCTGTCAAGTAGGTGTCGCGCTGCTCTCCTCCATAAGTGATCTCTATTTCCCACCTCCATGCTTTCCCTAGGAGCCCTGGTGTTGTAGTGGTTATGCATTGAGCTGTGATCTGCATGGTTGGCTGTTCAAAACCACCACCAGCAGCTCCTCAGGAGAAAGATTGGACTTTCTATTCCCATAAACCATTGGTCTTGGAAACCCACCGGGGCTCACTCTGAGTCAGCATTGACTGGATGGCAGTGAGCTTGGTTTGGGTGCTTTCCCCTATCTATATCTCAAAAGTTCTCTCTCTCAGTCACCCCTCTTAAAGGGGCATACATATGCTAATGTGCACATCTTTTATGCCCTTTCCTTTAAGGTGCTTTTCTTTATCACCTGCCCCCTGAGATAATTACTCCTTCCTTAATTCCTAATCGCTCCTTATTTCTAATGTCTTGTGAGACTCATCCTATTTTGCTTTGCATCATATTTATTGGAGTATTTATGTAGGTTGCAAGTTCCTTGTAGATAGATTTATTCTCATCATCTTTGTACAATAATACCAGTAAATATGTGTAGACCATTTTATAGGTTACAAAGATTCTGTCTACGTAATCTTCCCTTCTTTTAGAAGAGTACATTTAAGAGTTCAAGGGTGAAAGGAGCCACAACTTAGAAAGCGAAGCATTCCTCAACTTCCTGGAGTAAAGTCTTCTTAGCTACAGCCATTATGATGGGACTCAATTGTCCATCATTTCCATCTACTTGAGATTTTTCCCCACAAAACATATCTTCTCTGACTTAAGGAATATAAAAAGGAATTCTCAAAATAAATAAATAAAATTTTAAAAAGAAAAGAAATCTCAAATTTTACATACCAACCTTAAACAAACAAAGCTCTGTTTTGATAAATATGTGTGTGCGTGCATACACATACACATGAGTGTATTATATAGATAGAGGTTTCAAATGTTTGTGGGAAAAAAATCCATTATTTTTAATTCCATTTTCCATGAACCTTTTGAAGGCCTCTCCTTTCATATAATATATATTATAAATAATTGCCATGTGTTAATGTTCACTCATGCGGATAGCATGTGTGCCAGGGTAAAAGCCTTCACGGGGTTTTCAATGACTTAGTTTTGGGGAACAGATTCCTAGGCTTTTCTTTCAAGGTGCCTCTGGGTAGGCTTGAGCCTCCAACCTTTTGGTTAGCAGCCATTTGCATTAATCATTTGCACCACCCAGGTAATTCATCAGGTTTTTTTCTCATGCCTATGACTGAGAAAAAATTGGTTTTTGTTTTAAAATTTGGGGCTCAGGTTAAATGGCTATCCCAGGGAATTCTATAGATAAGAGATAATCAAGGCTGGGTTGGCTTGTGAATATAATACAGAAGGTGAAATCCTCACAAACTATTGGTTAGCTTGTTTTTCCTAACAAAATGCATTTAGCTTGATGGTCTTTGAAAATATGAGGAACTCAGTGAACGTTTTTTCTTACCGCACTGGAGCCTCTGAGGAAGGAGAGCAGATTTCGACAGACCGGCAGCAGGATCAGCATGCAGTTGAAATTCAGGCAGGCTGCAGGGGCCCTGGCCAGTGCCAATGCAGACTGTAGGAAGCAGGTTATGCAGTAAGTTGACTCCTGTGAGCACAGAATGTATCCCAACCTTCCCAGGGTTCCCAAAATGGGGCCCATACATTGGAAACTTCAAGTTAATCAGAAAGAAAGGTCCCTCAGGAACAAAAGTTTCCCGTGAAGTCCAGTCGGGGGTCTTCCTTTTGATGTCCAACTGGTTCTTTCCCTTCATTCCATTATTTTATTATAAAAATTTTGAAACAGAGATGTTGCAAAAGTTTTACAACAAAGGTATGTTCAGCCATTTCCCAGATTTTACCAGATGCTCATCTATTTACTTCACATATTTTTCAATCCTGGTGCCATGAATCAGGGCCTAGCTGAACCTCAGTTCACCTTTCTTGCCACATTAATGTAGAAAATTAAATGACCCATTCAAGGACTTGCCCAAGAGGACAGCTTCAATTGAGCGATATCTCTCCCGAGAAGCTGGCTGCTCCCTATTCTTCCATGATCATATATCTATCCCTCTATTTCTCCTCTCTTCATCCATTAATTCAACTTATTCTTTCGATGTGTTTCAAAGTACGTTACAGGCATTAGTTCATGTTACCGTAAATACTTCAGCATACATATCATCAAGCAGAGCTCAACATTATAACTAGGACTTTTCAAGATTTTATCAAAAGTTTTCTTAGCACAAAGACTAATTTTAGTAGTCTTCAAGTTAATGTGGTATTCAAGTTATTTTTTTGGCATTAGAGTGATTATTTGGCATTATAGTTCTTTTTATAATGTCAGCATAGTTATTATCTTTGAAATGCCATATTTTGGAGAGGAGAACAAAAGAAATCCATTCTTCTCAGAATCAACATGAATAAGTTAATATTTATAACAATAACATTCTAAAAGTATATACTAATATTATTTATAATATGATCTATAATACATATTATAATTAATATGAATTTATAAATTCATGGTGCAAGCAGGGTGTAACAAATTATATTCTCGGGGAGCAGCAACAATTGTGATTATTTTCATTTGTGATGATGAAGAGACATGGGAGTTAAGAACAATGAGAATGCTAAGTACACAAGCCAGCTGCTCCTCAGAGGAAAGATGAGGGTTTCTACTCTGGTGAAGAGTTACAGTCATGGAAACCTACAGGGGCAGTTCTACTATCCTACATGGCTGATGAGTTGGAATGGGTTTATTGTCAATGAGTTTGGTTTTTAGTTTCCACTCTGCTGGCCTCGTCTACAGACATGGCCCTACATAAACTTACTTAAAGGCCACATGTGTAGGGAGAGACTGTTTTCTGAAGATAATTTCATACCATGTCACCAGGAGCAATGTTTGCACTCACACACAAATAATAGTAGTATCGGATGATTTAGGGACTACAGAAAGTTCCATGTGTTCCACATATGTTATCACTAGATCGATCCTTACAGTTTGGCTTTCCAATTCAGTCCATGTTAGATTTCTCCTTGAGTCAAAGCAATGATATTACGGCTTTTGAGAGGAGAGGGATGCTGTTGGAACCCTTTGCTTCACCTTTTCTTGCTCAATACTGGACAGTATTAAAGAGAATCTTAAGAAGGTGAAATGAGGCTGATGGTGTTGAATATTTATTGGTTTTAAGTTATTTAAAATGTGAAGGAAATATAAACTGCCATGATGTCAGATGAAAAAAAAATGTGAGCCAGCCAATCTTGTATGAGATGAAGTCATACTTACCCCAAGAAGTTTCCGAGTGTAAAAGAACTTATCTGGAATATCATAAACCCGGTAGTACCAGACAAAGAGGAAGACGTTCATTCCCAGCCATACCAGCTGCAGACACATAAATAGTTCAATAAAGGTTTTACATTTCAACTGGTAAATTGTATACAAGGTTGGAATTAGACAGGGTTAGAACTTCCCCAAGTCCAGTCTTGGACAAGAGTAGATGGGTATAGTCAGCTCTTGTCTACCCATGTGTAAACAAACTTCTTCGTAATTAACTTTTCTACACTGTTTTCCCCGCGTGATACACCACTTTTTGATGATACACCAAATTGTGTTCAGTCTCTCACCCTTTTTCTTCTTCTCCTTTTTCATTATTAACCTTAGATGGATCAATAATAGTGTCTCTCGAAAATATTACTATTACTCTTCCCAACACTAATAGGACATTATGCTCTGGTCTTACAGATGCCAACCACATCTTTCCATCATAGAGCACCTCATTCCAGTTGGTAGGAGTCTTACCAACTAAAATACTAAGTCCTATTCTGTTGGATAAATTCTGCTTACCTTTTGGATAAGGATATATTTAGTATCAATGTCAGGGATGAGGGGAATGAAATTTGAAAACAAAGAGCTCCTTCTAGGGAGTGAGTGTTCTTTTCATTCCAAGCATTGACTACTTCCCAATTCTCTACCCTCAGTTCCATAGTGACCTTTTCTCAGTGTGTTCTGAAGCTATTAAAAGTCCACAGAGGCTAAGAACCAGAAATATGTAACTTTTTTAAAAAGAAGAAAGTTCTAAAGTGACTTCTCCATTTCCTGACCTTGTCATTCTTCATCCTCTTGCTTTCCAAACTATCTGCGCTTTCAAGTTATATGAGTGAATAATTTAGAAGGAAATCATTTCCTAGGGGAAATTGTGATGGAAGCTAAAATTATAACTTAACCTTCAAAAATGATCTCCTCTTGAAATGATGATTAAAATATCAAGTTCATAGTTTTAAATACTCAGGAGGAATCAATATTTCATTAGAATGTTGGTTTGCTATATCACGTACTTTATTAAAATGGCAGAATAATTGGGGGTTTTATAGTATTTGTACTTTTCTTTCTATCTTTAATATCCATCATGATAAAGGATTTAAATAACTCGATTTATAATTGTTTTTAGTATTTCTTTTATGTTCCCATTCGCTCTTTGAAACTATTTTCAATATCACATTTTTATTTTCCCAATTTGATGATTGTTGAGACCAAATATTCTTTAAAGAATAATTTGTATTTCTGTGAAAAAGAGCAGAAACTTTTTTCTTACAAAACAGTTTATTAATATAGATTATATGGATTATTATTTTACATCACAGAAAAAAACAAGGTGCTTTTTAGAAAAACAAATTTGAGAACTAAAATTATTTTTGTTATAATTACTGAAATAATGGCTTTAAATTTTCTACGCACAAGCTAGTATTGTTCTCATTTGGAATAAAATAAAATAAGTTAATTAAAAGCAGAGCATTCGCCTCCCACTAATAATTAGAAACAACTCACAATTGAAAGTCACTGGCATAAAATGCCCTATTCCCTCTGTGATAGACTGGACAATTTGGTCCTCATAGGAACTGAAAAAATAAGCTAGGAGAAGTCCACTCTCTCAGTACATTCTTTTCACTAAGAAATTTGGAAGATAGTTAACTTACTCTGTAAACAGATGTTCACAGAGTAAATCAATTTCTGTAACACTTCTCAAATGAACAAGAACAACAAAACGTTCTTGTACTTTACTCCAATCCTAAACCCCCTACAATTTCAGATATTCATCACTCATTGGTACTTACAATGACAAAGATAGAGAGTCCTTCATTTACGGCCCAGTTGCCCATGGTGGCAGAGGTTCAAAGTATTGTTTCTGCCTTTCTTCTCCACAGTGCTTCTTCTTTGAATGAGGAAATGAAAATAACAGCCTCTAGTCAATCTGTTTCCTTTTCTATTATCAGAAGTTAGCTAATCCTTGGTCAGTCAAGAAGCTTGTTCCCATGACAAATTTAAATCTTTAACCCACAAAAACTACAGAAAAAACTCTGCTAGCATCCAATCACAACGACCTAGAATGGAAGATGTAACTAATTTCTGTAATGGTGAGGCAAATGGTAGTAATATTATGGGATGTATTTTACATAATTGTAACTGGTTTAGTCTAATCAGTTATTAATAGCAATTTGTAAAAATTACCCAACTAAGCATGATTGAGCACTGGGTTAAAACCAACAAAAGAGTGTGATTTCTTTTCTTTTTAAAATTGTTTATTGTGAATTTGGTGGGGGTTTAATTTATTTCAGAACATTATTTTTTAATTAAACAAGTTAAACAACTTATAAACGGCCCCAAAGCTTGTCCTGCCACCCTTCTTTTTTCTCTTCTCTCTCTCATAGGTCATTATTTCCCTTTCACATAACTTATCACGGGTCTGCCTTTTAGCCTATTGTTTCCCTTTCCTTCTCTTGCCCGTCCGTCCCCGGTTAACGTCAAAGTCTATTTCTTTGCTATGAAAACATTTTCTTGATTTTTTCTTTTATAACAGTGATCTCATACAATATGTGTCCTTTCTGATTAATTTCATTCTGCATAATGTCCTCCAAATTCACTAACGCTATAAGGTAATTAACCATTTCATTATTGTTCTTTAAGAATGTGCAGTGGAGGGGGAAAAAAAAAAAAAGGAAAATTAGCGGATTCCGGGAACCCAAGAGGCAAGGGAATTTTGGGAATAATGAGGGCAACAAATGTATAGATGTGCTTTACACAATTGATCTATGTATTGTGATGAATTGTATGAGCCCCAATAAATTGATTAAAAAAACAAACAAACTTAAAAGCAAAAGCTAAAAACGCCCCAAAACTAAAAAACTTAAAAAATAAAATAAAAAAAAGAATGTGCAGTGTTCGAGTTCAGACTGGATTCAGAAGAGGACTTGGATCAAGAGACATTATAGCTGATGTCAGATAGATCGTGGCTCAAAGCAGAGAATACCAGAAAGATGCTTCCTTGTGTTTCACTGACACAGTCATATGCAAAGGTATTAGACTGTGTGGATCATAATAAATTGTGGATAATCTTGAGAAAAACAGGAATTTCAGAACACTTCATTATGCTCGTGAGGAACTTGTACATGGATCAAGATGTGGTTATACAGAACAAGGACACACTTCATGGTTTAAAATCAGGATAGGTGTGCATCAGGATGGTGTAATCTCACCATACTTGTTCAATCTGTATGTTGAGCAAATCATTAGAGAAGCTGAATTATATGAAGAAGAGTGTGGCATCAGGACTGAATGAAGGTTTATTAACAATCTGCGATATGCAGATGGCACAACTTTCCTTGTTGAAAATGCGGAGGAATTTAAACACTTTCTGATGAAGATCAAGGATTGTAAGCCTTAGTATGGATTACAATTCAATGTAAAGAAGACCAAAATCCTCACAACTGGACCAATATATAATATCATGCTAAATGGAGAAAAGGTGAAAGTTGTCTCAGATTTTATCTTGCTTGCATCCACAACAAATGCTCATGGAAGCAGAAGTCAAGAAATCAAAAGATGTATTGCATTAGGTAAATCTGCTGTGCAAGAACTCTTTAGAGTATTGAAGAGCAAGGATATTTGTTACTTTGAGGACTAAGATATGCCTGGCCCATGCCACGGTATTATCCATTGCCTCATACGCCTCTGAAATTTGGACACTGAGCAAGGAAGTCTAAAGAAGAATCGAGGAATTTGAATTGTGGTGCTGGAGATGAGTATTGAAAGTACCATGAACTACTCAAAGGAAAAACGGTTTTGGAAAAAGTAAAACCAGAGTGCTCCTTAGAGGCAAGGTTAGCAAGACTTCATCTTACATACTTTGGACTTATTGCCAGGAGAGCTAAGTCCCTGGAGAAGAGGAAGGGTAACCAAAAAGAGGATGACCTTCAAGGAGATGGATCAACACAGTAGCTGCATCAATGAGCTCAGGCATCGGAACAATTGTGATGATGGCACAGCACCATGCACAGGGCCTGTTGGGTCGATATGAGTTGGAATCAACTCGATGGCACCTAGCAATAGTATTCAATCGAGTGCACGTACTAAAAAAATATTCATCTATGCTTCCACTGATAGGCATTTAGATTGTTTCCATATTCTTGCTATTGTGAATAGTACAGCAATGTACATGTGTGGGCACATGTCTGTTCATGCTCTATGCTTTATTTCTGTAGGGTACATACCAAGTAGCATGATTTCTGAGGCATATGGTATTTCTATTCCCATTGTATGAGGAAGTACCATACTTTTGTCCACATTTATTGTACTGCTTTACAATCCCACCAACAATATATAATGGTTTCAATCACTTCAAAACCTCTCCAGCCTGTTATTTTCCATTCATTTGAATTTTCCTTTATTTTTTTTAGTGGCATGAAATGTTTAATAGGGTCATGGGGGGATTTCTCAGAAGAGGTGACATTTCAGCCGAGACCCCAATGTGAGGAAAGTTCATTGGTAGGACAGTCAGAGGGAGCATCTTATCAGGGGGAACCGGAGGGTGAGGCTGAGCAGGGAACCAAGTTGTTTCTTTCAGAGTATTGGAAGAAGGCCCAAGAGCCTCATGAGAGAGGGGAAGTGCGACATGAGACGGGATGAGATGAGATGAGCAAGGTAGACAGGAGCTAAGGTGTGTGGATATGGTCCACGGTGAGGAGGTTGGACTTTAAATCTCATGGAGAGTGAGTGGAAGGTTTAGGGCAGAGGAGTATTGTGATCTGATTTATATTTGTTAAATACTCCTAAGCTAAAAAAAGAAGACAGACATCAATAAATGGCCTATATATCAGAAATCCAGGACACTAACAATGACTAAGAAAATCACTCACTGAGAATAAAAAGCAAAAGCACTTTCTTGGGCGGCTGTCTAGCAAATGGATGAGTGTAAGGTGAGGTGAAGGTGAGAGATGGTTGGGCTGGGGCAGTCTTCCAGGTGAAAAAGACAGATTAAAGTCCAGATTGGACTTTAGTGGGAGGAATGACAAAGAGGAGTCACCAAGGAACTAAAATGTGGGTGTCCCGATGGGACTCTGGAGCATGTAATGAGGTTAAAATAGAGGAAGAAGAGGCTGGTGAGTGAGTGGGAAAGCTCGCACAACAGCCAAAAGCAAGTAAACAACCACAGCAAAAAGGTTTCTACACACATGAGACCTAGTGGCACAGTAATTAAGCACTCAACTTCGAACCCAAAGAACGAAGATTCTAACCTGCCAGTGGCTCCATGGGAGAAAGACGAGCAGTCTACTTCCAAAAGGATGACAGCCTTAAAAATGACATGGGCCAGTTCTGCTCTGTCCTAGGGTCTCTGTGAGTTTGAACCCACTTGACAGCAGTGGGTTTTCAAGGGGTGAGCATCTAACATTGACATTACCATGGCCATGCCCGTCACTCGCAAGACTGCCCCTCAGCTGCCTACTCAGTCTAAAATAAACCCCAAACCATGGCCCTTGAGTTGACTCTGACTCATGGAGACCCTATAGGATGGGTAGAACTGCTCCTACGGGTTTTCAAGACTACCTTTACAAGTGTAGAAAGTCTCCTCTTTCTCCTGAGCTACTCAGTCTACTCTTTGCTTTTGTGTGCCAGTCTCACCAGTTTAGTTGTCTAATCCAAAATAGATCACAAGGGTCAGTTAGGAGAGAGGAGACTAGCAGTGGCACCTGTAAGAGTGAACTGGCAACTGGGCAGTGCCAAAGAGAGCAAACGCTGGACCACATGAGCGAAGGGGTTCACAGGCTTACTGCTCTGAAACTGTATCCTGCAGGAGGAGTCTCACACTACGGAACTCTCTGTATGTTGTGTTCTTTGGTTTTATACCTAGGAAGAAACTAAAAAGAAAAAAGATAAGTCTAGGGGCACAAAAGATTTACCCAAGTCCTGGTTGATCAAGAGCCTCTTCAAAACCTTCTACCTGGAACTCCTGAAATCGTTTCTGTTGAAGCTCATGTATGACTTCCTTGCATTTCTGAATCTTCAGCTGCTGAAGTGAGTCATCAGGCCTCTTTTGTCTTCTGGGCCATCCTTCTCCCCTCTCCTCCCTCTCCTGCTTGCCCCATCACCCTCTTTTTTGACCTTTGTGGATGCAGGCAGGAGCTTCTTTTCCAATTTCTGCCTGCCTTTTTTAGATCTGTCGATAGAAGTATATTCACTCACTGAGTTCTGTGGACTTACAAGTTTATCCATTTCTCTAAGATAACTGGACACATCTTCACTCTAATACATTCTTCTTTTTTTTTCTTCCCCAGATATCGTCTTGCTTTCTCCTTTCTGTTTCATGAGGGCTTCCAGCCAACGCCTTTGTTTAATACATTTACAGAAAGTTGCAAGAATAGTAATAACCACTTTAGTACCCTCTTCACACAGATTTACCTGTTAACATTTGGTTTCATTTGTTTTATTTTTCTTAAATTTTAATAAATCATTTTATTGGGGGCTCTTACAGTTCTTATAATAATCCACACATCAATTATATCAAGCACATTTGTACATATGTTGCCATCATCATTTCCCAAACATTTTCTTTCTGCTTGAGTCCTTGGTATCAGCTCCTCTTTTTTCCCCTACCTCCCACCCTCGTGAACTCTTGATAATTTATAAATTATTTTTATTTTCATATTTTACACCATCCACTGTCTCCCTTCACCCACTTTTCTGTATTCTTTTTTTTTTCCTTCTTTGTTTCTGTATTCTTAAGGTTTAACTTTCTCAGAACAACTTTGCCTTATTTGCCTGGGCAGTCTCATTTTAAAAATTGTGGTAAAATATTTTTTTAAAGCTATTTATCATTTTAACCATTTGTGAATGTGGGATTTGGCAACATGAATAACAGTCACCGTACTGT